AAACACAAGCAATTTAAAAATGAGCAAGTACCTAAGAGCCCACGGAAAACCATGAATATAAAGGGTGCTAAATCCTTCCCTTTCTATAATCTACCCCCGTACTCAAAATCTCGAAAAAGGATTTTTTCTGTACTTTTTTCCTTTCCGATTGGATGAAATAAAAGTCGGTGGCGACTCTTGCTTACCGCGACATTTTGCAAAATGCAAAACCAGTAAAAATAGTCGGTTCTGCCACCGTATCACAGGAATAACTATGTCTAGGTCCCTAAGGAATAAATTTCCCACTGCCCAAGGGAATATGGATTTTGATTTAGCCAAGACTGATTTGAATTTAACCAACAAAACTCCCCCATAAATTTAAATATTCCTTCGATCCATCATCCCAAGCATTTTATTTCCTATTTCGAAAAGATCCTTCGACTGTGGTTTTGTGAGAATGTCCGCTGCTTGATCTTTGCTTGCAACGTGCTTCAGTTTGATGCTTCCATCCTTCACACATTCTTGAATGAAATGTAATCAAACATCAATGTGCTTGCTTCGTTCGTGGTTGACTGGATTCTTCGTCAATTTGATTGTAGATCTGTTGTTAACTCGAATCATTGTTGTAGCTTCCTGCTTCAATTCCATCTTGCTCATAGTCTTCTCAGCCATATTGCATGGCATACGCACCTGGATGCTGCTACATACTCTGCTTCACAGGTAGAAAGAGTTACAATGGGTTTCTTCCTTGACAGCCAGGTTAAAGCAGTGTTTCCCATGAAGAATACATATCCTGAAGTGCTCTTTCGATCATCAATGTCACCACACCAATCACTGTCAGAGTAGCCAGTCAGCTTGTATTCTTCTGCTTTCGAATAGAACATTCCAAGTGACACAGTTCCTTGGACTTATCGAAGGATTCTCTTCAAAGATTTCCAGTGTGAAACAACTAGTTCTTCCATGAAGCGACTCACAATTACAACACTCAATGAAAGAATTAGCCTTGTGCATGTGAGGTATCGAAGACTTCCTACCAAGCTTCGATATTTGTTTGCTTCAACATGCTCTCCCCCATCAAATTTCGAAAGCTTTGCTCCTGGCTCCAATGGTGTCGAAATAGGATTGCAGTTATCCATCTTAAATCTTTTCAGGATATCTTTTGCATACTTTTCTTGTGAGATAAAGATTCCTGTTTCTTCCTGTTGAACCTCCAGACCAAGAAAGTATTTCATCAGGCCTAGGTCAGTCATCTCAAATTCTTTTGTCATTGTGCCCTTGAACTCTTCGATCATCTGATTGTTGTTGCCTAAGAAAATCAAATCATCAACATAGAGAATAACAAGCAGTATTTTCTCCTTTTTCTTTTTCACATACAAGGCATGTTCGAAAGGACATTGCTGAAATCTATTTTCTTTGAAGTATGTGTCAATTCGAGTATTCCATGCTCATGGTGCCTGCTTCAGCCCATAAAGTGCCTTCTTCAGCTTTAGCACCTTTCCTTCATTTTCAATTTTCATGAATCCAGTGGGTTGTTCGATGTAAACTTCTTCTTCAGGCACGCCATTCAGAAAGGCTGAATTGACATCCATCTGATGTATTTTCCATTTGTATTGAGCATCTTGAGATATGAGCAATCGAATTGTCTCCTTTCTCGCAACAGGTGCGAAGACTTCATCATAATCGATTCCTGCTTTCTGCCTGTATCCTTTCTCCACAAGTCGCGCCTTGAATCTTTCGATTTCACCTTGTGTATTTATCTTTTTCTTAAACACCCATTTCACACCAATTGTTTGACTTCCTTTTGGTAACTCAGCTAGTTCCCAAGTATCATTGCGTTCGATGGCCTTAATTTCTTCATTCATAGCATCCTTCCAATTTTTGTTTCTTATTGCTTCTTCGAAGCTGACATCTTCAGTGTCTGCCAATAAACATACAAGACACACTTCTTCTGTGTTTTCATACAAGTCTTGTAAGCTTTGCAACCTGGGCTATGAGGGTCCTTCTTCATCATTAGAGTCTTCTGGATCTATCGAAGTGTCTTTCAATATAGCATCTGGTACTTCGACCATAACCTCATTCGAATTGTCCCAGTTCCACTTGCTTCCTTCGTTTACTCGAACATCTCTACTTACTATCACCTTTTTGTTTATTGGATCGAAGAGTCTGTAACCTTTCGTTTTTTCATCATACCCAATGAGTATGTATTTCTGACTCTTATCTTCCAGCTTTGTTCTTCTTTGATCAGGGACATGTGCATAAGCCACACTTCTAAACACTTTGAAGTGAGACACAGTTGGCTTTGGACCACTCCAAGATTCTTGAGGTATTAAATCTCCCAGCTTCGAATGTGGACATCTATTTTGAACGTAGATTTCACACTGTACAGCTTCTGCCCAAAACTCCTTCGACATGTTTTGCTCTTCAGCATTGATCGAACCATGTCAAGGACTATTCGATTCTTCCTGCTACACCATTTTGTTGGGGTGAGTAAGCTGTAGTCAGAAATCTTATTATGCCTTGCTCTTCACAGTACTTCATAAAGGTTTTCGAAGTATATTCCCCACATCTGTCTGATCGAAGGGATTTTATGTGTTTGTCTGTTGCTTTTCCAACCATTATGTTAAACTTCTTGAATACTTTGAAGGCTTCAGACTTTTCTTTCAGAAAATACACCCAAGTTTTCCTTGAAAAATCATCAATGAAGGATATGAAGTACCTTTTGCCACTGAAGGATTCTGGGGTAATTGGTCCACGTATGTCAGTGTGGATCAATTCCAGAATTTGTTTGGCCTGATATTCTACCTTCCTTGGGAATGAAGTTTTCGTCTGTTTGCCAAACACACATTCTTCACAGAATTTTCCTTCGAATTCTACATCTGGCAGTCCATGTACCAAATTTTTCTTTGCTAACCTCCTTAGTCCAACCTGGTGTAGATGACCAAATCGAAGATGCCACAGGGATGCTTGGTCTTCGATATTGACATGCAAACACTTTTCTCGAATGCTTCTCAAATTCAACTTATACATTCGATTCCTCCCCATTTAGACTTGAGCAACCAGATGTCCTGACTTGTCTTTTAAATGCAGGCTTCGATCTTCCATGAGAATCAAATAACCCTTTTCAATGAGTTGTCCCAGACTCAAATTATTTGCTTTGAGGTTTGGTACATAGTACACATCTTGGATTGATCCTATCAAATCATTCTTCTGCAAGAAACTGATTGTTCCTTTTCCTTTGACTCTTACTTTCAACGCATCTCCAAACGAAACATGACTGTCTTCGATTTTATTTATGTCTTTGAAAAAATGCTTATGACCACACATATGGTTGCTTGCTCCTGAGTCCAGGTACCACATAGTGTCATTTTCTGCATCTGCTTCCTTTTGAGTCATTAACAGAAATCCTTCATTCGATTTTATTTCTAGGGCAAGATTTATTGTTTCTTCTACCTTTCTTCTGGATCGACAGTCTTTTGCAAGATGCCCCGTTTTACCACAGTTGTAGCAACTGTAGGAGTTACAATCTTTCGCATAGTGCCCCTGTTTATTCCATTTGCAACATTCGATATTGTTGTAATTCGATCTACCACCTCTATGGTCACGTCCTCTGCCACGCCAGTTTTGTTTGCTTGATTGTCCTTTGTCGAAGTTGTTATTTTCGTAATTTTAACCACTATTACGTCCTCCACGACCATGTCCTCTCCCACACCAATTTTGAGAGAAAAATGTCTTTTCATCTCTGTTGGGTTCTGCATCCTCAAGTGTCTCATCCTTCTTTATTTTGCGTTGTTCATGTGCCTTAAGCGAACCAGCGACTTCTTCGACAGTGATTGTTGAAAGGTCATTCGCCTCTTCTATTACGCATACTGTGTTTTCAAACTTGTCTATCAAAGATCTCAGAATCTTTTCGACAATATGAGCATCAGACGTTGCTTCTCCATTTCGATTGAGTTGATTTGCCACCGTCTGCACACGAGTAATGTAGTCCGATAGGGACTCTATCTCCTTCATCTTCATTCTCTTCATTTCTCCTTGAAGAGTTTGCAAACGAACTTGCTTGACTCTATCTGCTTCTCTAAAGGCCATTTCTAGCGTGTCCCACGCCTTCTTCGACGTAGTCGAACCAACAATCTTTTCGAAGGATGATTCATCAACTGCTCTGAACAGCATGTACAATGTTGTTTTGTCCCTTGCTCGCGTTTCTTTCAACGCCTTGTTCTGAGCAGCTGTGTATGCTGTCGTATTTGATGGTTCTTCAAACCCATCGTTAGTCACTTTCCATACTCTAACGATCCCAGCAGTGTCTTCATCTGGATACTCCAATTTTCGTAGTTCGATTTTGAAAGTCGTGGCAGTGACATCTGACCCATCATATTTGACATGCGCTCTGATACCAATTTGAAGAAATGTGAAGAGAATGAGTGAACTATGAACTTTCTTTTCTTTATATATTTTGTCCAACTAACTTTCAATATGAGATACAATGTAATTTATATAGGATCACAATATAGAATATGAAGAGTTTACAGCAATAATTATGTCTAGGTCCATCCCTAAGGAATAAATTTCTCACTGTCCAAGAGAATCTGACTTTTGATTTACCAAAAACTAATTTGAGTTTAACCAACAATTAAGAGAAACTCGTATCCAACGAAAATCAACAGCACCACCCTCGCTCTATCTCTCTCTCTTTCCTCTCTCTCATCTCTCACCAAAAGAAATTGGAATCAACTTTCAGTTACTTTATTTATCTTTTTCATTTATTGCATTATAAATTATTTGTATGCGCATTAAAATACAGTGTGTTAAGATTTTTCATGTTAAAAAGAAAGGCATATAAAATGTAAAATGTAAAAAGCGTATATATGACTAAATATATGATAAATGGAATCCTGACATAGAATATCACTTTTACAAAATCTGTGTTAAAATATATATTTACAAGATAAAATCTTTGTACAATTAGAGATCATAATTCCCATGTAAAAATAAAATTTGAGTCCAAACTAAGGAACTTAGCATTATGTTGCTAGCTGGATCTCATCGTTTGTCTCCATTATTTCTTCATCATTCTTCTTAAAAACATTGGAGGACGGCGTTGCAAATCGAGCTGTGAAAGACCTTGAAAAATCATCTCCAGTGGAATAGCCATCATCAAAATTCTGTAAGTAAGAGGCAGGATCATATAGAAACACAGGTGAAGATGATCTAAGTATTCTCCTCTTGTTTTCTCTCTTGATCTTCCTCCACAGTGTTTTCAACCTTGCTATCTTGGTTTTGCTCATAAATTCATTCACACATACAATAGGGTCATGACCAATTCTCTCATAACTTGACCAAATGCAGTTGTTTCTTGAGATAACACAATTGCAGTTTTCAAGGTCCATAGTGTTTGGAGTAGTTAACAAAGGAAGTATAAAATGGTTAAAGGAATGAATGTGTTTGTAGTGTATGTACTAATTAAGACTAAGGCTAAAGGCTATTTATATAGTGATGGCATCAACAACTTTTCTTTCCATTTTTTTAATCTACTCATCACCACATCAGCAAAGCACATACTTTAGGCTATAAATTGGACCAACAAAAAGAAATGGATTTTTTTTGTTTGGATAATACAGCAAATTTAAAACTTTCTTTTGATGTCAGAATTTCAAGTTGGTAAGTGTTTTTTAAAAGCAATATTAAAAATTATTTTTGATGTCAACAATCGAAGTCGGTATGATATTATTTTTTTAAAGATTCCTAGGGGTGACTGTAATACTACTGAGTCACATGGATCATGGCTTAATTGTCGAGTTACTTTGGAGAAAGATACACCATGAATGTTTCGAACTCCTAAAACCTACGTATGCATAAATTTTACAAAAAAAAAAAAACGACTTTAAAGTATAAAATGCAAAGCTGAAGGAAAAGAAACAAAATTTGAAAAACAAGTAAAAAAAAATAAAACTAACTAAACAAATTCACATCAATTACATTATGGACCGTTTGTTTTAACTTTAAAAAAATAATTTTTTTAAATATTTTTTAAAATAAAATTTATAAAATCATTTTTTAAAATATTATACGTTTTTTATATTTGTTTTTTCTAAATTAAAATACTAATTTTGATACCATATAATATAAATATATATTATTGAAAATCAAAATTTAATCGAAATTATAATTTATTTCAAAATGTTGAATCTAAAAAATAATTTTTATGAAAAATTATTTAAAATAGTTGTAAAATTAAGTTATTTTTTAAAATTTAATATTTTAAAATAAAAGTTTCAATAAAATTATAAAATATTTTAAAAAAAATTATTCAAACAAAATTTTTATAAAAAAATTCTTTATAAATTTTTTTACACAAAATTACGTAACATCTGAAAATCCTTTAAAAAAAAATCAAAATAAACTGACTATGTATTATGGCGAGTTTAACAACTTTGGTGTTGGTGATAACACTAATGCTAGAGTTTAGTTGATTGGGCACAGATATTAATCGGGAGAAGGCTATTATTACTTATATTGTGGATCCATTCTTGCAAGAAATATGGATCAATGGGACTAGTGTCCCGCCTAATTTGACTTCACCATACAAAAATATAATGAATCAAAAAGAGAATATGAGAATATATTACTGTTGGCTCCTAAATTCGACACCTTTGTTTTGATTGATGGCAGCCATTAAAAGCTGAAAGATGCTTTCGACTGGCTAAGCCTGTCGAAGTGCCCGTCGAAAGATGGCAAAATACTTAGAAGATTTCTTCCAAGGAAGAAGGCTGATTGCCTTCGACGTCGAAGGAGTTTTCGTCGAAGACGTTTCTTGATGAAAGTGTTCGATGGTCCAGAGTGGAGCAGTTTGAAATTCAAAGCTTTGGGGGGAAAACGGTTTCCAGCAGTTACTACGTGTAAACGTGCAAGGATCTGGAGCGTCGAGCATGGAGAACGTGCCAAGTGGCTTAATCTCGAAGCAGTGTAACTGCCCGACGGTTACTTGGAATGTTTTAGTATAAATAGGAGTAGACATGTAGTTTCTCGTGTGTGTTCACAAATAGATACATAGTCACTCATTTAGATTCAAGTACCCAGTGTGAGCGAAAGAATTGTTGAGAAATGTATGTGTGAAACACCAATTTTATCAATTAAAGTCATTTACTTTTCCAGTATTTTACTTGCTTTTCTCCTTTAAATTCCTGTCGAACCTTTACTTTAAAGCCTTGTTTATTTTACCAAGCCTTTCCTTTATGCAATTTACTTGAAACATTTTACTTAAAGCCTTATCCACCTTAATCAAACTTCAAAATCAACCTATGTCCATAGGATCAATCTGATCGATCCTGCGAGTAACCAAATAAGTAACCATTTGGAGGATCAGCGGTTGTTTACCAAAACCCAAGGTAAACAAATTGGCACACCTGATGGGACGATGTGTTGATTGTTGAAAAATAATCTCATCTTTTCGAGTTGTATGTTATTGAGGAGTGGTAGAATATACACTAACGATAACAATACTGCCAGAAGAAGGGAAGAGATGGCGAATCCGCCAAACAATAATGAAATCCCACAAACGAGTGTGGGAGCAACGGTTAATATGACCGTAAGTGAAGCGACGAATGTTGGTTCGACACCAGCAGTGTCAGTCACAACCACGGGGCCAATAACTTCGTTTTCAGGCCCCAGAATACCTTTGGGAACTCCCCCTCCAAGGGGAAATATAGGCACAAGGCCTGTGGTTCCCCCAGGATTTATTCCATTCTATGGTATGCCAACTTCTGAAGTGGCAAGCCTGACGAATGCTGCGTCCACTTATTCAGACCCAAGGCTCTGGAGTAGGCATGGCGAATAGAAATAGGACCCAACTCTTAGGAGGAACGTCCCAAGTAGCCCATGGCCTTACAAATGCCTCGACAGCAGTCTTGAGGCAACAGATGGACGAAAGCAACCATGATATGGTGCAAATGTTGGCACAAACTTTGAGTACAGTGCTAAATCCTCTAATACAAAATACTACTCAATCGAATCAGCAAGTTACAGCGCAAATGACGCGTTTGGCTGACTTCTTTGGAGTACCCCCACCTATTCGACAGCCCCAAAGGGCGCAAACAAGAGGAAATCAGGGGATATTTGTAGAGGAAGAAACCACCATTAATCAGGCTCAACAGCCTGTAGAACAACCTGTCGAAGAACCTAGGGTAATAGCCCCAGAGGTAAGGTTAGTTAACAGAAACCAAAATGCTGACGAAGTGGTTCAGCATATCCAACACCAAAACATGGGTTTGGAAAATAATCTGGCAACCATGATCGAAAGGATCATGAATCAGAATGGGATGAACATGGGCTTTCGAAGGCCCAACTTTACATCTCCATTGTCAGAATACGTATTACAAACGGATTTACCTCCTAGGAGCAAAGTCCCCAAATTTACTAAGTTCTCTGGGGACACGACAGAATCTACTGTCGAACATGTGGCGAGGTATTTGATCGAAGCAGGAGACATTTCAAATAATGAAAACCTAAGGATCAAATACTTCCCAAGTTCCTTAACCAAGAACGCTTTTACTTGGTTCACAACTCTACCCCCCAATTCGATCCACCATTGGAACCAGTTGGAAAGATTGTTCCATGAACAATTCTATATGGGGCAAACCAAGATAAGCCTGAAAGAACTGGCGAGTGTGAAGAGACGTTTCACTGAACCTATAGACGAGTATCTGAATAGGTTTAGGTTGCTTAAGGCGAGATGTTTTACACAAGTGCCAGAACATGAGTTGGTCGAAATAGCCGCAGGCGGTTTAGATTATTCCATTAGGAAGAAGCTAGATACCCAGTACCTAAGAGACATGGCCCAACTGGCCGATAGAGTTCGACAGGTCGAACGCCTCAAAGCTGAAAAAGCTAAGGCAACGAAAACTCACAAAAGAGAGAGAATAGCGTACGTTGAGATGGACGACGACGATCTAGAATCCTTCGACGATACTTTAACTGTCGAAGAAGGAGAAGTCGATTTAGCAGAACTAAAACAAGGGCCACCATACTCTTGTAAACAGTTAGTCCCCTCAAATGGGAAAAATCCCATTGGTCCAGACAGGACCAACGATAGGTTCCCAAAAAAGACTTATAGTTTTGACATCACAAAATGTGATGAAATATTCGACTTGCTAGTTAAAGATGGCCAAATGATAGTACCCCCTGGGGTAAAAGTGCCTCCTCTTGATCAAAGAAAGAAGAGAGGTTTTTGCAAATATCATAATTTTTTGGGCCATAAAACTTCTCAATGTTTTCTTTTCAGGAATCTTGTGCAAGACGCTATTGAGGAAGGGAGATTAAAGTTTGCTGACAAATCCCCCATGGCTGTCGACTCCAATCCACTAAAGGCTGAAGCCCACTACGCAGAACCCTCTGAAGTGAACATGATAGAGGCGACCAGCATCCCGTCGAAGAAGCCAGGAATTACCATGGTCGAAGTCTCAAAGGACCACATCAACATGCCAATCTTTGGCAGTTTTTCTGGAAATTTATCCAGGAAGACAATTGAGGCTGTCCAGAAAGCGGTCGAAGACCCAAAGTCGAAGACTGCTGAAGCACAAAAAACTGGACCAAAGCCCAGTTCCCACTTGGCCACTGTTCAAGGCCAGACGGAGAATCTGGAGACACAAATGAAGCAACTAACTCTTGCTAATAAGGATACAATGAATATCAACATGGTTGAACTTTCTGACCCTAAAGCTTCAGAAGAAGCCATAAGGCAAGAGCAGGCAAATAAAACGGCTTTCCCTAGGGAAAACGAAAACTTGGCAGATTTTTTACAAAGATGCCAGAAGAAGAAATCAGAGGTGATGCTATGTCCAAGATGCAGTTCTATCTTTGATAAAAAAGCTGCTGAGCACATACAAGGCGTAAGAGCAGCGAACAAGAGAAGGGAGAATGCTGACCTTCGACATGATCCCAGGAGAGGTTCTAATCAAGACAAGAGGCCATTGACTTTTAGGCCTCCAACAAATGTACCAGTAGACACTTGGTACAAAACATCTGGCCGGAAAAGGCCAAGTGAAGAGAAATGGCATTCTTTCGATGTGCCAAGAGGTTCCTCTTTAATTCAGAAGAAAGAGCCTCAAGTTGCTGCACCCAAGGTTGCTCAAGTGTCCAGCAACTACAAGGGAAAAAATCCTATGTCGCGATCCCAATGGAGGAGATATCAAAGAAGGCGAAAAGCTGAAAGGGAGGCTGCCAACGAACCTAAGGCAGAAACTAGTTCGAATGTGCCTCAAAGGAAACAAAGAAAGCCTCTTGAGAGAGAACCAGTTACCAACAGGCTAGTTTGGCCTAACCAAAGTGAAGTCGAAGACGAAGATGATGCTGAGTCCGACGATACTCTGGATATAATGGTGAATATTGTTTC